CTCTTCTCCATCTCTTAGAGCTTTTGAGGATGCCTTTATCCCATGATTATAGTCCCTAATCTACATATTTGTAGTGTTCCAGTTTGGTGTAGATTCCTTTTGGAGATAACTTCTATAATCAGTTGTAGGTATTCAGCGATGAATGGCCCAGGCCAGTCTTTTCCATTTGGTGTTTCTCAAGAAGCTTTGGGTTTTAGAAACCATAACTGAAAATGATCTTAGGATGCATATGTCTATATATATTTTTTTTTTAAAGAAACATACTACCACATAATTCAACCTTGAAATTAATTTGCGTTATGATCTTTTAGCTGCCTCTGAAGCTGACACTATATATTTTCCTTACTCTGTTTCATGTAAATGTAGAATTTCGGTGTCTGTATGTAGAATGTGCATTAATGGACTGTACTCAAAAGATGATATAAGAGTACATCATTATAGCAGCACTGTATGCCTCGTTGGTGGATTGGATGATAACCCTGTTCTCTGCAAGTGACTGCCCTTTCGGTCCCAGGTGTAGCATAGCCCTCCTAGTTCTACCAGAACAGAGTCTGGTGGAGCGAGTCCTGGTGCTTGGCTTCTGGGCTGGCCACAGATGTCGGTTTTCCACTTCTGAAGTTTTGTGCTGACTGTGTGTAGAACTTCTGTTTGACCCTTCAAACACGTTTCCAGCCCACTGGAGACACACTTTGATTTGAAGCAGTGCTTATTCAAAAAGAAAATTCTGGTAGCAAACACATGAAGAGCTCTGCATGGGAAAAGGCTTTTAGATCAATGTTAGTCCCTTGGGAATCTCTGACTTTTTGCACTAAAAGTGGTGCCAATACTGTGATTTTTATTAAAAAGAACCTAATGGCTGTTTCCATTCTCCCCCCAGCTGCTCTTTATATCTGAATAACAATGAAAAGTGCAACCCCATATCATTAAAAAAGTATTACATAGAAACAAGATGAAAAAATACCTAATTTTGGAGAAGTGGGCTTTTTAGTGTACAATGACAGACTTCTAAGAGGGTTACGAGGTATTTGTGTAAATTTTGTTCAGTTATCATTGTATTGATAACAAGACAGCAAGAAGTCTTAAAGGTGCACGAGGATATACAATACGACTGTCACTGATAGCTATTATTAAATAGTTAATAGTTGTTAAACTAGCCAGTAAAGCTGCAGTTAATTTACTCTGCTGTCAGGTGCTGCTTGGGTCATGATCCTTTTTGTCCTGTACCGCTCTTGAACATCCTTCCATATTTTTAAGTGTTCCACAGCTTCCCCAAGCACTTTTTGATGGAGGGATTATTTCTGTCATGCCTTTTTGCTCTTCTGGCAAGGTGCAGTCCATTCTTTACATGAATCCATGCTAAAATATTTAAGGAATATTCTATGTAAAGAAATGTAGTAGCAGGTGCTTGTAGCAGGACAAGAGCTAAGAAACTGTAAACCAGAAAAAGTAACTTGTCACCCAACAGTGTTTTCTGTAAGAGCCTCCCTCATCTTGGGCATTTGCTGCTTCAAAAGTCACTGTCAGGTGATAATGAATACCACAGAAAAAGTGCGTTCCCAGCAGCTTGATTGCTACAAGTTAACTTCTCAATTTCTTCAAGATACTGGAAATAACAATGAACTTGCCTTAGGGTAAAACACATTAAACTCATCTTTGGTCTTGCTTCATGACATGGGAAACCCCTAATGAAATTCTTGGCACTCTACAAAACGGAGCGGCAAATGGAAAAGGGAAAAGCTTTTCCTTTGTGGACACAGGATGAGAGGATTTTGCTTAGGAGTGCAACATAATGGCAAGAGATGTTGAGAAAACCGTTTCCCCCATTCCCAGGCTTCAAGAGTGCTTCTAAAGCTGCCTAACAAGAGAGATGCTGACAAAGGTGAACAGTAAATCTAAATTCTGAGCTTGTAGTTTCTATGGATCATAACTTACAGGTGTCTTCAAACTGCAGAAAGGAAAAAGAGGCAAAAGCTATCAAAGTAAACATCCTTCAGTGCATGGGAAGATGACAGATTCTTTCTAACAAGATTTTCTGCTCTCCTGGAGGAAGACCATTTGTTAATAAACCATTTGAGAATCCATTTTTAAGGGATTTAATAAAATATACACAGACTGCCTTCCACTGCAGAGCTATTATTCCCTTGGGTAGAAAAAGTGACTGACTGTGGGCATTAATGGTTGCTTCCTGTGATTCCTGGCATTATATCTTGCTCCCATTTGCACTTTTTCAACCTGAAGTGAAATAATTTTTTATGAGAATCCTGCACTTGATTCCTAGCTCTTATGAGGCATGTATGTGTTCTATATTTTATTTATTTGTTTTCAGTCATGTCCCTAATTCTCATCATTTTAATGTCTATGTCTCTAGTGTGGGTATTGTTTGTGTGTTTGTGCATACTTTCCTGTGTACAAGAAAGTTTCCGTATCCATTAATGGAAGAGGTAATAGATTTAGTGTGAATTAAATGAATTGTTTCATTCTTGCCAAAGATTTTCATTAATTATTCACACATTTCCATCAAAAACTAGTTTTTCTATTGTGGTGGTTGCTGTCAATTAAACAAGAAACCTGAAGCTATTATGGTCCAATAGATACTTACCTGCACGGGCTGGGTAACCACAAAAAAAGATGTTTTCTTCAGAATTTGAAAGAAGGTTTTCTACTGCCATCTTTCCAACGATGAATATAAGCGATACTTCTTTCAAATATGAGAGAAATACAGTGGAATTGAGGGATTAAGTAGATCTTGTAAGGAATCTTGCAATTTCTGGGACTACCAACAGACTCTGGTCTTCTTAAATTAAGAAACCATTTTTCTGCAAAGAACACCTTGTAAGGGTGTGTTTGAAAAATAACGATTGCTTTCCGTAGCTGGGGTGACAGGAGGAGGAGAAAGTCACGGGCAAGCGACCCTTAAATTCAAAGCATGGCGAGTTTTAGATATGTAAGTGTCAAATTCAATTATACCCGAATGCATCCTGTCTGCATTAGCTTACTGGCCTCCTTTGGTCACCTGTGGCAATCAGCTGGCAGTGCTAGAAGTGACTTTAGCGTAGATTGCTAAGTGGATGCCCAGGCAGACATTAGTTTCACAGAAGGAAGAATGAAATCTGGGAAGCCAATAATGTTACAGTCACTGGCAGCTCTCAGATCCCAAATGGATGTACTTAGAGGCATAATTTGTTTCATTCTTTTCTGTACCAGAATTATCTCCATATCATATCCAAGAACTGAAGTCATAGTGGCAGGCTGTGGATGGCAAGATGGACAGTCATTGCTAGGTCATTAATATTAGGACCTAAAAAGAGATTACAGACAGGATGGTGCCAGGAAATGACGGAGCTGGTAGAGAAGGGGGTGAGCAGTAGGACAGATGCATTTAGAAGAGATGATTTCTACACTAACATCTATATGTGTAGGAAACACTTCCTACCAGTCAGTCTTTCTCTGCTTGCTTGAGAATGGTGTCACGTCAGTAGTAATCAAGCGTAATTCCCTGAATAGAGACTTGAACAAAGCTAGGGAAAATTCAAGAATAACATCGTATTTGTACACTCTGAACCACATGTAGCTCAAAAGGAACCAGTCCGAATACTTAACGTCAGAGAGTAAGTTCAGATCTTTAATGTTGAGAACATGAAATACATAGGAGTTCTTGTAAACAGTTTCCTATAAATTTGTGAGTGTTCTTCTTGTAAACTCAAATGTGACAACAATTAGCTGCCATTACTTCTGCTTCACAATAACATTTAAACTGTATATTTGGGCATGGAACAGATGAATTAGACGATCTAACCATTCCAGATCCTGAGGTCTTGGCTGAAGTGCAGCAGAAAGGCAAGTGGGTTGGAGTTAAGGGATGCTCTGGCTTTTTGAGGAATGAAATGGGGGCAAGTGCAGGTTCCAGTTTATATAGCTTGAAGCAAAATACTGAGAAAGTCTTCAGTGAGCGGAGTTGAGACAAATTTAAGTGCATAACACCTATTACAGAGTCTGTGAATTTAAAATCTCTGTGCATCTGAAGCTCAGTAACTACTGCACAATAGTTAGTGACACACTAATGATCGCTGAAGAGTCAGAGGAGTGAAGTAACGTATTTACTCCTGTCCATTGAACCGGATCTACTCGGTTCATTCTCAAATGTGTTGGTTGCCTTGCTTTTGTCTGGAAGGCAGTGCTGTGCACCATCAGACTAATTTGTCAGGTGAAGGAGTGACTTTTTTGCCCCCTGTCTTGATAAAATTCAATCTAGAAATTGATGAGAAAAGGGCATGCGATGACTGTTAGCTGCAAAATAACCCCCACTCATCTGACTTACGTTTTTGTGGTAATTTTACGCTTTGCTTTTTGTAACGCAGGCTGTATTTTTGTGATGTTCACACTAAGCATGGAGCAAGCTTATTTGCTTGTGAGATTTGAACATGTACTGAATTGCAGTAAGATGTGCACAGTTCAGAGTCTGGTAGACATAGCAGAGCTGACAGACCCTTTGAGAAGCAGAGGAGACCTCGTTGATAGATCCTACAGCAATACCTCCTCGCCTAACTTATCTATATACATTTTAAAATACTGAGTATTGTGGAAATGTAAAAAATAAAAGTTAATTTCAAATTAATTTAGAATTTGCTTCCAGTCTTACTTATGGATCTCTTACTCTGTAATCAGAAAAACAGGTAACTTCCAGTTTTCTTTGAATGACATTCCTCTTGCTTTGAGGAATACCAGAACATGCTCTTTAGTGACCGCTCTCATCAATTCAGAGAGTTTTGCTTTGGTAGCTCAAAAATCTGCAGTATCTAATTAGCAAAATTAGTGACCGTCATGTTTACAAAATGTTGCATAGCTGTGGAGCAGTGTATGGTAGGGAAACTTGCACTCATAAACACAACAACTGAAAAATATCACTTCTCTAAAATGAGTATCTGTGTGTGCTGCTTCTGAACAGTTCAAGTGACTGACGGTTCATTATAGCTTGTCTGGATTTTTCTGTTTGTTTTCAGCTGTTGGACAAATTAAAGGATCGCTGGATGCACACTGGCCTATGGAGAAACCTGGAGCTGGTTAAGACAGTCATTGCAGAGCCTCAAGGTGGGGCAAAGAGTGACTTTGATGAACTGCTGAAAATATACTACGATGCCATCAAATGTAAAGGAGAAAAAGGTACGTTCTTCAGACACACAAAATACTTGATTCTGTTCAAGTTGTTTGTTTTTATTAAAAAAGGGCTTCTTAAAGTGCTTATCAATTAAAATAAGATATGGATAAAAGTTAAATTAAACTCAGCTTATAAGTTATTGTGATAAATGAGGAAAATGAACTGCTACATATATCATTGCATGAGGATATAGTGAAGTATAGAATGGCACATAATCCTAATAGTGATACTCAAAAGGCTGTGTGAGGATGTGCAGTTGTGTGTGTCTAGCAGGGTGCGGAGTGGCTTCTCAAAGAATCAAACTTATACTACATTGCATAACTGCAGTTTGCTGTCTTATCTTATATTACAGCCACTATGCAATTTCTTCTCAAAACACTTAATATTTAGTATAGAGAATAAAGAATGACAGTATGTAAAAAAAAAAATAAAAATTAAATAGCATGATTTTTGGAGTGCAAAATTCAAGGTTTAAAAATTAAAATTTTATTGTAGGTACATATGGTTCTTGCAGAATTAAGTACCACAGTATTATATAGTGCAAAATTATTTTGCTAGTTCTTATTCAAAGTCACAGTATTATTGATCCAAGTGGAGTTAATCTTATCCCTGTACCAAAGAAGTCTATATTTTTATATCCACTCAGCTTTTCCAGACGATACACAGTATATTATGCTATATTATGTTTAGCTCTTTAAAAGATGTCGGTGAAACTTTCTTCTGATACTCAGTTTTTCACTGTCAATGATTTGTGTATTCTTCTCTGGCTTGTTCAAGATGGAGCACTCCTTATAGCTGTATGCAGAGGAAAAGTTAGCGAAGGCTTGGATTTCTGTGATGAGAATGCCCGTGCAGTTGTAACCATAGGTATTCCGTTTCCAAATGTGAAAGACCTTCAGGTAGGAGATGAATTAGAAGAATTGTACTTTATTTTTATGTCGTGTTTAAAACTCCAAATATGCACAAAAAAAAAAACCTTGGATTTCTCTCAATCTGAATTAGAAGAATTGTACTTTATTTTTATGTTGTGTTTAAAACACCAAATATGCACAAAATATTTTTTTCTAAGTGTTTAACCTTGGATTTCTCTCAAATCCATTTGAATACTTTGAGGTACCTTCTGTGTAAGTGAGAGAAGCAACAGTGCAGCATGACTTGTGGACTCATTTATGTCATTCTGAATGAATGTGTGTCCCACTGGATGTATTGTAAGTTTTTGTCTGACACTGCTAGCGAAGGCTACTGCAACGTTCAAGTGCTCGTTAACGTCATACTCTGCCAAGCAACACTTCCTGTTTCCATTACACTGAAACCTATGTCATTTGTATAGAAATGAAGTTACTTTCTGACACACTGTGGTGAAACATTTGGTTGTGAAGGATAAATGCTAGGAAAATACTACTTTAAATAAGGCATTCAAATTGATCAGAAGATTTTTTCTAAAAATAGGTGGAAAGCTAAAGATAGAGCATAAAATAGTAACATAATGAAGCAGTGCATTTCACACACTAGATCATTATTACTTGCAGTGTATCACCTTTCTAATCCCTTTTGCCTTCTTTAGTGTAACTATATGTATGACACTTCCCACTTCAACAAGCTCATGCTGCTTTATTGGCTTGCAGTTTTGAGGTATGAAATGATGACATAATGTAACCTCTTCCTGGATACCGAGGAAATTACTGTATTGATAATTCAGGCTTCATCTAAACTTGCAAGTGCCTCCTAAAAATAGTATTTTGAAGTACCTTCAAGTAAAGAAATCAGAGACTATTTGTGTTTTTCAACAGGTGGCTAATGTAGCATCTCGTTGCTTGTACTGCTGTGTGATTTTTCCCATCAACACTTACTTCCTTTTGACTTCAACAGGTCTTGCCTTACGGATGGATGATGTTCCATTAGAGTAGGTACTTCATGGTTGAAGCCAGGCATTCATAAAGGAAAAGAAAGCCAATGAATATGGAAAAGTGGCTTTCTAGATGTTCTTTCTACTTACTGAAAAAGAACATTTATTGTTGACTAGTCTGAAAGACCTCTTATTTTTTAGTGGTCTGTGCATGGCACTTAGGTGGTCACCAAGTTGCTGGCACGCTTCTTCCCAGTGATAACAGCCACTGTCACTGCTTTGTCTTCTGTGTACGTTTTAGAGCTTTTTCAGACTACTTTGTGAAACTAAGAAACAAAGTGAAGTATCACAGAATAAATACCAGGAACAGCTGGATTCTGGTTATTAGTAATGCCAAATCAAACAAGAAAATCATAGGTTTGCACTTGAAAGCCCAAACAGACCGAGCTTTGGTTTGAGAGATGTGTTCAGAGCTTAAGTGAACAACCAAAGACTTCTTTGTTGTCTACAGTGTGCATAATTACAGTCTTGGTGGAAAAAACCCACATCCTAGAAGGACTGGTAGGGTTATATTAGTGGTGGCTGCCTGCTGCAATGTTCTTTCAGTGCTTGCATAGCTTTCTTGAAGCACTTACTCAGCCACAACATTTTTTGTCTTAGTAAAATATAATACACTGTACTTGAGTATAAAAATATTTACATTCAGAGAATACTTAGCACTCTTTCTGGAGTTAGAAATGCTTTGTTTTAGAAGCATAAGCTGAAGTGATATTTTTGAAATACTTGGTCTGGAAGGAATATGGCCGGAACTCTTACAATTTACTCCAAATGATTTCCAGAAAGTCAGTATTTTTATCTTCTAAATGTTACAAAATTAAATTGAAAAGAATGTGTCAAGGGTGAATTATGTTCACAGTGGATTCTGTTCCCTAAGATTGAAATAGCGTATTTGATTTTGCCTTAAGTTCAACCAAATAAGTAATATAATAGAATCACAGGCAGTACATCCCACTTCTGATAACTAAATTCCAAAAAATCAGTGTTGTGTTTAATTTTTATTTTTTTTTAATTAGACTGAAGAAAACCTCTAAATGTTTAAGTAGGGATAGAAACACTAGCTGCCAAATTGCAAGCAGCTAAAGGTTTGAGTGTGTATATTTAGATCTGGTAATGCACAAAGCACTACAGTGATCAATTCTAGATGAGAGAAGGGCAGGCACCAGTCTCTTAGCATCAGATCTGCAGAGCTGTCTGGTGCATGGCAGCGCTCCTAGAATAACGCTAGGGGAAATTGTTTTTATTGCAAACAAGCCTTTTGCTCAAGAACTTGGATTCAGAGTGGTATCCAGCTAGCAGTACTTCCCTTTCAATTGCATGATAGTGTTTTTGTCCAAGGCTTTAGGTTTATCAGATATTCTGTTTAGTTCTGGATTAATGCAAGTTTCTTTTACCAGTCGAGCTCAATTGCGTGAAGGATAGAGAGAGTGAAGGACAGTCACTCTTCACTGAAGAAGATTAATTAGTAGCTTTGTAGAAACATAAGCATAGATACAACGGAAACAGAAAAGATTAAACATCTCTTTTAGCAGCATTATCAGTTCCGGGAAGGAATTGAAATTATTTTTTTTTAAGGCAAACTGACTGTTGATAGTGAAGATCGGCATGTAAAATTAGAAATTAAAAGAGGGGAGAGGAACGAGAACAGGACACGATACCAGTTTTCACTTGAAACTATTCTTTTTGTGTATTTTCCGAGAGAGCTGATCCAATAGTGCTGTTTCCCAGAATGGAATGAAACAAATGTAGCACTTAGTTTTCTGTATACTTTTATATTACGTTTTTTAAAAATTGTAAACTTTATATAAACCCAATGTGATATCCTATTTTTAGTAGTCTGTGTGCATTAACAAATACTAATTGTTTTTCGTTACTTCAGTCCCCCTAGACCAACAGACTTTACCTGAACATTAGAAAGAAAACCAAAATCTTATTCCTGTACACTTTACTCTAATTCTTCTGAATACTTTAGCATTATCTTCAGTGAGTAAAACTTCATTGACCCGAAGGAGTCATTATTTGTCAATAAGGGGAAAAAGCTGCATGAAACTTACAGGGTTTGGAGGGAATGCTATAAACCGTGCTCTCATGTAGCAGTTATGAGTATTACCTGAAATGAAAAGAGATTATTAATGATAGACAGTTGATTGCCCATAGTTAAGCCTTAACCTGTTGTCCTCACCAGTTGGGGTTTGGCTGCCTGTGTTCCTGGTTCATTAGCAGTCAGAATCCAAAAGGTGAAACGACGCCTGTGCCATCCTGCTCACGATGCAACTTCATCTTCTGAGCGTACTTTTGTTATCAGATCTAAATCCTCTTGAGCTGAGGTGGGACTAGAGTTGGGTTTGAAAGTGAAAGTTGATGTTCAAATACTCCTTGCATTAAACAGCAAGAATAAATTATGACACAACTATTAGGAAGAATATGGTTATGGTATTTTATTCAAATGCCTTTTCCTATTCAGGATTTTTTTCAAAGCATATTAGTAGCGCTCATCATACTAAGAAGTTATTAATTCCTCCTTCCAAGTACAACTGAGTGACTTTCTTCTAGAGTGGATAATTTTATTTTAAATCTTTCTGCTTATTAGGAGTTTTTCTGTTAGAATTTTTTTTTCTTCTGGGGTTAGAAGAATCCAGATTTTTAAACATTAACAGGACACTATTCAATTTATAAATTTTGGTAGGGTTTTAGGATACGTTAAGTTCCCAAATGAAACAGTTAAACTTTATAGGGTAGATAAGACACTTGCTTTTATGATACTGTTGGTTGGTGTTTCTTTAGGTTTTGTAGGCTAACCAGAAAACTGATTAAAACCTGGAACTTTTAAAACTTCCAGCTTTGACCTTTTGGGAGAACCTTGACTTTTGAGCAGACAGAAGAAAGTTCCAAACACAGTGACACAAGCGTGGTTAGACCTATGTAGACATGAAAGTATGAACACAAGTACATGCGTTGCTTTTACCCAGCAGTCGGTGCTTAGTAGATACACCAAATGAAGAAACTGATAAGATTATTATTCATTACATCCCTTGAAAAATAGGACATGCAAGTGATTGACAATTTCCTTACTTCTGGGATTAGTTTAAACCACTAAAAAGTGCTCCACTTCCACATGAAAATACACTTATGTGTCTGATTTCTGGGTTAATAAAAGTCCTCTTAAGATTCAATTCTCTATCCCCTTACTCCTGCACATAGCTTTTACTTGTGTGAGTAATCTCTTTACTACTTGTAGGACTGTGTGCAATCACAAAGTTTTTTGTAGAATTGTGCCTTTGGAGACCACTATTTTATGTTGGCAGTTTGATGTTGGCTCATCTCCACTAATATTAGTCTGTGATCAACCTGCTTTCTAAATATATTTTATGACTTGTAACTTGATGCTAATACCAGTGAACTGTAATATTAGAGAACATAAATAATGTGACAGAAAAAGATGTGTAATCCCATATACATGTTATCTGATTCTAACATACTGTTCATTAACTTCTGTTATATATTTTGAATTGTAGCATTTTGGATCCAGACATCAGTCTTTACTTGGGCAAGAAACTCAGTGTCAAGTGTGATGTATAATATCCAATTTTATTTTCTCCATATGTTTGTGCTAAATATGCGCCACAACTTCTGGTATTAAATGGCAAGCATTTGGTCTCCTTAAGTAACTGTATGCTTTTGTAAGTTATATTAATTTCCTTAGAACCTTTAAAGAATATAATTTGGTTTCTTTTCCAGTTGCCTCACTTAAAAATTGTAGACACGTAGTATCTTACGTTCACTCATTTTCACAAAGAGAAGGGTCTAAAGCACTTTGTCAGTGTTAGGGAGAAAGAAATTATTAAGGCTCAGAAGTGTACTTGATAATAAACAATACTGATTTAAGAGAGAGGCCAAAGCCCTAATTCTGAGTTATTGAAAACAGTTTCATATTGCTGAAGAATCGGGTTGCTAAAGCAAAATATATAAAAGAAATGTTAAAGTATTGCTTAAAGC